AAATTAATTTAAGTCACCAAATTTTATATATTAAATTATACAATTAGATCTACAGCATAATTATATAAATAGTTAGTATTGTAATACATATGTACTATACTAGAATTTGTTAATTATGATATGGTATAATTCCAATTCAACAAATATTTTATGTTCATTATGTCAATGTAAAACCTTTAAAAATAATAAAGGTTTACAGTTATATTGGCAAAAAGTTCATCAAACTAAAAGTACCAATAGTAACTCCACTCAAATACTTTCTTCTACTTATTCTTGTGTTTTTTGTAAATTATGTTCTAGAAAAAGCTACAAAAACCAATCAGGTTTAAGTCGGCATAAAATAGTAGCTCATTCACATTATAATATACCACGAACTGGACTTATCTCTCAACCATCAGAAGCAATTATTGAATTTAAAGACATATTAGTTCACATGATACAAACCAAATTAAAAACTAGTATACAGGAAGTAGGGCGACAGGTAGTTACAATACCATGTCTTGAAAGTCAATTTGTTGATGTATTTGACAAATATATTGATAGATATTCACCAAGCTGTAGCTGGTATCAATATACCTTTACAGGAGTTGGTGTATATGAACGTTTAGAACAAATTCTTGGTGATGAAAAGTGGGGGTTCGAGAATATGAAAACAAACAACAAACATGAGTAATTTTAAATACAGTAAATGAAAAATTAAAGCAACCAAAATTAGAAATTCGATGGGAGCGTAAAGAAATTATAGATATAGCAGATTATACTTCAGGTGCTAGATTTCTTTTTATTAGATTCAATATTGCACAATTTTATTTTAAATAAAATTAAAATTTATTTTAAATAAAAACATTTAACATTTTCACTCATAATTCATCTATACAATGTTATTTACTTTATGTTGTAGACTTATAGTTTAATTATTAGAATATATTCGGCCAATATACTTTGCTTGCTTGCCTTGGTTTCTTTGCCGCATTAAGTATGTTATTTTAACAATATCAGTTAATATTAAGTAGCAAGAATTCTTCTATTAAGCATTTAAATTAAAGCTTTTGACAGACACATTATAACGTTTAGTAATCTGTAAATCTTAGATATTGCAATATTTCAATAGTCAATTAGAAACATTTGCAAAACTAAATCCACACGAACATGCTACATTATTAGTAGACGATATATGGCTGTTGCTTTGGTAAAATTTTTGTTTATTTATTTTATATATATCAATAGATAGAGATATTTTATTTAAGCTTGCTAAATATTTATTTATTAGGTATATTTTTAAATCATCTTTTTCACTTGTCTATCCTTGTGTTATTTTATGAAGATCACATGTCTGACACCAAACTTTAAATATATTATATGCATTAGAATCATATCACACTACCCGGGGTCTAATTTAAACTTTCATTTTTTTTGAATTGATTAGTACTTGGGTATATTATGTACTGGTGGGCTTAAAGTGCATATACACTTTGCACTTATAACAAACAATTAGGTTTTTGAAAAAAACTGCATTTGATTAATAAAGTTTTCATGATTTGTATCTGGGTTTTAATCATGGATCTTATTTTATGGGAATACTAAGCAGTGCAATACGGTAGGTATTAGCCAAAATGATTCTATAGATAGAGTTGTTGAATTTACTTCACAACTACCATTCCAAGCAATATAATAGTTTTAAAATCTAGCTTAAATCGTTTGTACTGTCATTTTTATTTTTAATAAAGCACTTCACACAGTTATTGATTAAACATCAGGTTGATTTTTGGTACTATTGTAGAAAGAGCACCACCACTACTTATAGCGATAGAATTATTCATCTAAGAGATAGAGAAAAAAGGTGTAGAGGGTTGATTTAATGATCAGAATTTTTGTTATAAAATCTTCGAACAAGAATGTTTTAAGTACTCTAAAATTACAATACCATATAAGCACAAAATAATGCCCATCTGCGTATTAATTAATTTACCTGGGCGTTATTTTGGATACTTTCATATGTATTTCGAAACAAGAGTTGATTTTTTTGAATCCAATACAATCAATCTTTCATAAATGCGTGTAATTAGAAAAAGTGTGCTTATAGAATGCACTAAAAGAAAATCTGAAAATTTAAATATAAATCATTTAAATTTTCGGGGTTTCTTTTAGCGACACTCATATAGTATATTACATTAGGCAGATCGAATAATGTGCACTTGTAGAAAGAAAATGTACGTGAGTGCACTTATAGTACTTATAGGAAGAAAGTGCACTTATAAAAAATCGATTGTATATCATTTTCCCAGCAATAATTATATACTACATGGTGCATATTAATTTGGAATGCCTATGGGCGTTAATTCGAAACCATCTAAACTATTTTTGAAGAATTCGATTTTCAAAATAACACCTACGAGTGTTATTTTATGTTTATATAGTAAACACTTATTGATTAGATTAAACAAGCCACTTATTATTATTTTCTCGAAGTTGCCTCTTCATTGGTAATTGTACTGGATTTTTTTGTTGGATAGCTTTAATCATAAATGTAAGTAATTTTTTGTCCACCCAAATTCTGCCTTTTATATCATCTCCAGTAGATTATTAAAGGTTTCTTCTCCATCTTGGTCTTTAGCGATTCAATTACTTATATAGATTTTAACAAGTTTATCTATTAACAGTTAATTGAAATAGAGTAAACTTGTTAGTAGGTTAAAGCTATACCAGTTGCTAGCAAGGTCAATATTGTATTCACCTAAGATTTCAAATTTCATTCAAATGTCTTTTCTTCATATTTTGAAATGCCTCTACCGTTTTTTGGTAAAGTCTAATAGGGTGTTCAAACTACCTATAGTTTGTAAGTAATATCGGTTAAAAATACTATCAACTTCAAACAGATCAAGAAATACTATTTAGATTAATAGTATGTACGTACGTACATATGGTGCAGGAATCTAAATACCACAATTACACCAAAATATAATCAACGAAATTAAATACTTAATTTTAATGTATAACGATTATAGGCTACAGATTAAGCCTAAATTCATATTTCTTAAATTGTCAACTTGTGGTTTTAGCACTATACATAAGTAGAATTATAGTTAAATTTCAATGGCTCCTGTACTAATATAAATGAAACATTTATGAATATTTAACAATAAGTATTTATAAGCCTAAATTATGATTTTAAATAGACAATAAATAGTTTTAACACTTAGCATTTAATATAAATAGAATGAATTAGTTATTTGATAGTTGATTTTAAATTTACTAGATTAATATGAATAATCTAAGCGATATTGTTTAATAGCAAATATTTAATAAACTTAAACCATTTATTCGAAATAATAAATAGTTTCTATATACTTAATTATTATTATAAATAAAATAAGTATTACTGTATTTAATTTTAAACAAACTAATAATTACTTACCAGATTACACAAACATAATTAAAAATTAATTCTGCGATTTTTAATATTATTAATATTACTATAAAAATTTTATGCATTTATGATTTTATTAAAGATTTACTGCTATATTATTACTATATTAATATTAAGTGCTAACATTAATAGAGGTAATCTTTTCAAAAAAAACAGGCACATCATGTGTCAAAAAATACAAGTTTCTGTTTTCCCATTTCATTATTTTAGTAATTGCCGATTTATGTTTAACTTCTTGTCCTCTGTCCTTTAAAGTCTTTCGAAAAAAGTATACAACATGTTGATGATTTTTGTTCTCAACAGTGGAACAGGAAAAACCAGGTATACCAAAATTTGGATGAATATTAAGAAATTCTGGGATGTGATAAACTAAAGTATGAATGTAAGGAGTAATATCATTTGGGCGATAAAGTCTTTTAATAAAGGTTTGTGGAAGATTCGGATTGTCTATAAAGTTAATATATATATATATTGTTATTTGTAAAGACTTTAGCAAAGAATTAGCATTAAAATTACCTGAAGATGGAGTTAAAAACAAATTTATCCAATCCAATGCTTTTTTTTTGAACTCAACTCCACATATACGTTGTTTATGCATATCTTCTTAAAGCCATTCCATAAATACTGAATTAACTGAGCACAGCTTTTGTCTGAAAATACTAAATCTAAATTAAAATTACATAGCACTTTTAGTTTGTCAATTCCTGTTAAAGATGGTGAAGTCCACATTTTAGTATTTGGATCTTCTTGCTAATTAAAATGAATATGAATTCGAACCATTTTTTGACTAATAATAGTACAAATTTTAAAATTATTTTTAGCACCAATTTCTGATAATAAAAGTAACTACAATCGGTCTGTTATTCATAACATTATATAGAGTTCATCAACAACCCAGTGAGTTAGAGAAATCATAGAGAATAAAGGTTTGTTTTTGTGCCCAGATATTTTATAATAATTAATATTAAAATCCTCTATACATTTAGATATAGTTCAATCATATATTTTAACTCCATTTTGTTTTTTTTTAATTGAACACTAGAGATAAAAATCTTCTGCATTTGCTGCCTTATGTCCTAAACAGATTGCCAATAATTTTCAATCAGCTGAGAAATATAAATATACATTCCATTGGTGCCCTTCATTATCCAGATAGCCAGATTGAATCTCATTTAATTCTTGAATTAATGGTGCTAATACAATTGCTAAAGTCTCATATTTTTCAATACTAGGGTATATTAGAAGAGTATAGTGGTTTTCAGGACAATAAATGGAGTTTAAATCATTAAGTAATGCAAATGTAACCATTATATGCTTTACTTTTTTTCCAACATTATAGCTATCATCTGAAATTCGAATATGTAAAGTTGGATTAGATAATTGAAGAATCCCTTTTTGAATCAATGAAGGAATAATATATGACAAAATATCTTTTAATGATTTATATACTGCCTTGCCCATTGATTTTGTAACCTCTTCAATAATTTCAACATCACTAATATCCATATGTTTATTTAGTTTTTTGTAAAGTATCGGTATTTAAATTTATATTAATGCTTCGAATTGGAACTGTTTATTGTACTTGACTATCAATCCATTGTTTCATTCTAGAAATCACCCATTCTTTAGGTAAATCTTGTTTAATTCTTGTAATAGCCCAATATGCATCACGAGAGATATGTTGTTCATCCATTGCATATACAATAGCTAGCTTTTTTAAGTTTTCATTTTGCTGATTATCATTATATTTAATGCAAAACTGCTGATTATTTACTGAAAATGTTATTTTGTTTAAAACTATTTGATCACTTGAATGAGATATTGATTGTACTTCATTGTAAAACATTTCTGAAAAGGAAGCTGTAGTTTTTTTATATCACTTATATTTCATTGACTTGCTTAAATCTTGAAAAGGCTTGACATTCCGGATTGGTTTATTTATATTTTGTTTTTGAGAAACTCGTTTAGTTGCCTGAATATATTCTTTATTTGTGGTATAATCTGGATTATTATCTGTAAACCTTATACATCTATGATATATCTTGGCGGTTGAATCAAGTTCTAAAATTGAACAGGTAAATTAATAAGCACATCTTTACTTTTTATCTGCACCTTTTTTTTTGTTTTTTGGTTATATATATTATGCTTTGGATGAGCACAATATTTATTTAATTTTTTTTGATAAACTTGATAATAAGTTTTATTAACAACTTCATAGTTGTAATGCGTTTGACAAAGATATTTTCCTTCTAATTCTTGATGCTGATCTTCAGAGATTGGTATTAAAAAGCTAATTGCTCTTAAATCTCCTTTACATAATAGTTTTTTTTCAAAAAATATACTAAAATAGCATAGACGTTCTGTTGATATTAAAGTCATTAGTTAAGCTTCCATATTTTAGAGTAACTATACTTTGAAACAATTTAAGAAGATATATGTATAGATCTATTTAATCAGGTCTTTTTATATAAATTAGATGTTTGGCGACGCATACAGAATTTTTTTTTTTTAAAAAAAAAAAAATTTTAATCAATTTTTTTTTAAATAAAAAACATTTTATATTTTAATTTATAAATATACAAGTAAATTCACAATACTATGTATTAAAGGTTAGAATTTAAAATTTTTATTAATTAATAAAAAATAATAATTGTTCAAGTACACTCTTTTTATATTTTAATTATCGTCAAAATCGTTACCAATATTGTGAAAGTGAAGAAAAGAATTTGAAATTGTTGTAGATTTTTATCTTTTTGTTAATCAATCGTTTTCACTATTATATTTTTTTTGTGCAAAGCAATAATCACTAAATGATAATAAAGATGTTTGTTCAAGCATCAATTGTGATTAATATTTTAATTAATCGCAATACTTGAGACTAACACTTAGTTTCACCAACTTATATTTTACTAGTTTTGCTATACTTCACTTAATTTATCAATTTTATTTTTAAAACCCAGAGATTCATCTACAACTATAAATTAATCACATTGAGAAAGATATATGAACTTATTATTATCAGTACTAATGGTTCTTAAAAATGGTCTAATTAATAACACCATAATGGTTGAGTACTATCTCAATCACTAGTAAATCATATCAAGTGTGCTGCTTGAGAACACCCTTTGTATACGCTATAAATTTGGCGAATTTTTATTTATTATACATATATGTAATAACGATTATAGCTCTAACCTAAGCAATTCACTCTCACACTATCACTAGAACTACTTTTCTGTCTAATACTAACTTTATGTAATCCTAACCCAATGGTCAAGTTAAAGCCAAACCTATTTTCCATATAACATTTTATCACAATCCTATCCTAATATCTAAGCTAATTTAACCTTAACTTTGTGTAGTCCTATTCTAACATCTAAATATAGCTAATTCTAATTATTTTCTACTTTTAATTTCATTCTAGCTACTATTAACCAACAAAAACCAATGCTTATATTTGTGGCTAAAGTTGACACCTGGCTAAAAATGTTGCACTTAACCGAAATTAGCTCCTGAAATTAAATAGTTTTGCACGCATTAATTATTAATTTTAGGTGGGTGTAATTTCTACTGAAGTTGCAACCTCAGTTGAGTGTCAACTTCATTCACAACATTTACATCAAAAACTTACCATCGACTACTATCCAGGTAACTGCAAAAGAATTGATATGATGAATGACAACAGTTATGCTGAAAAATGAAACAGTTATAAAAGACGAAACAAAGCCAACAAACTATCCCTTAATTGGTAGAGATTTGCAGGCAAATTTTCCTGCATAATTACTATAAATATGTCTCTGATCTACTTTTTTAATTATTTAAAATATTTAAATAAAATTTAACATGAT